CCCCAAAACCCCAAAACCCCAAAACCCCGCCATAATAGATAAATGTCATTTATAAATTTATCAAAAATGAATTCGACTGGCTCATTTTAATTTAAATAGTCTGTATTACTTGAATATAGCTTAGTATTTAATAAATCATCAATTGTATCAAATTGCGGATGGTAGAACAATCAGACAAGATTTTAGTCAATCAGGATACTGAGTCCAATACCTAGTTGTAAGTAATTTCTAGTTTTAAATCCAAACACTAATCATTATATCTCAATTATACTTTGCTATAAAATCCAAATAGACAATAAGAAAATGTACAGCTCCCTGCCAACTTTGTCACTACTTTAAATCATATTGCATCAACAAAATACCTGTTATCATAGCTAAGAGATAAAAATACCAATACCTACAACTTCAGATTCTTCTCAGATAGAATCATGAGACTGCTTGTAGAGGAAGCTATCTCACAAGAGCCCATGATCATTGAAAAGAGGTAAAAAAACCAATTAACTCATATCTTTCCTTAGGCAATCACCAACTGGCTCCGAATATGATCACTACAGACTTAAGTTTAGTCCTGAGGAATACTGTGCTGTCACAATTATCAGAGCTGGTGATTCTATGATCAATGAGGTCATCTCATTGCTCTAAGGTATTACCATAGGTAAGATTCTTATCCAGAGAGATGAGGCTTCCGAGGACAAGAAGCCAATCCTATTCTACTGCAAGTTCCCGGACAACATCTAAGATAAGAAGAGAATTTTCATTCTTGATCCTATGCTTGCTACTGGTGGAAGTGTCAACCTCTGTATCTAAAAGCTTAAGGATAATGGAGTTGATGAAAGCAACATTACATTCATCAATTTGGTATCTTGCGAGGACGGACTAAGAAAGATTCACTCTCTTTACCCCTAAGTCAGAGTGATCACAGCAGCCATTGATCCAATTCTGAATGAGCACAAATATATTGTTCCTGGCCTTGGAGACTTTGGAGACAGATACTTTGGTTCAAGACTTCCAAATTGAGATGGAAATTCTAAGAAAAATGAGATCTTAGGATGATATTAGCTGTTTAATATTTTTAGAGGTTGGGTTACCTTCCTCGCACCTTAACTTTAATATGACTGCCTATTAATAAATAGAGTAATTAAGATTCTGCTTATTAAAGCTTTAATATCTTAATTTTTTTATTCTACTTTTTGCTCGTATTATTTGAGATTTAGGGGTTTTGGGGTTTTGGGGTTTTGTTTTAGTTATTTCATTATAATAT